AAAAGAATCGGCAATTTGAAATCTTCGGTCGCCACTATGTTAGAACTCGTGTGAAATAAAGAACTTTTACAAAATATTATCTAATAAAGAACTGATTTAATTCTGATAAAGAACAAATATTTTATAACATTTCTCTTTAACCATTTGAATCTCTTCACTACTTAAAGTTTCACTTTTTGATTCTTGATTGTGGCTTGAGTTTCTAATAAATCGTAAAATCCATGCTACCATTCTTAACAGTTTTAGGTAGCTTGAAAAGTATAGTAATGACATTGAGAAATCAATACTTTTTTCTGTAGTTACTGCTGATATAATCTTCTTTTTCTGTTCAGTATATGCTTCTGAATCTGGTAGCATAAGACTCGACACTGGCCACTGAGACTCATCATTTTGAAGCCAATACGGTCCTTTCCACCATTGAGATTCATAAAGTGTCTTAGCTCCGCAACCTCTTGAAGGCAAATCAGCAGGGTTAAGATCTCCTGAAATGTGGTGCCAATCATCTTTAGAAGTAGTGTTAAAAATTTCCTTGCACCTGTTCCCAACGAAAGTTCCCCAATCTTCCTTCTCTTTGATCCATGTCAGTACGATTGATGAGTCTGTCCAAAAATATGTTTTACATGACATCTTCAACGCCTTTTGAACATGTGTGTAGATCCGAGCTCCCATAAGTGCGGCCAACAGCTCCAATCTTGGTATTGTTGCATTCTTCGGGGCAATCCTAGATTTTGCATAAATAAGCTGCACAGCTACCTTGATTTGAGTCTTGGTTCTGATAAAAAGACAAGCTGCATAAGCCAGTTTACTAGCATCGCAAAATATATGAAAACTAGTCTCATTTGCGGACAGACTCCCTAAAAGAAATATTCTTCTTGGTATTCGACAGCTTTCCAACCAATGAATATTTTCAACCCACTTTGAAAATTGGCATGCTATTTCATTTGGAAGTTCTTCATCCCATGTCAGTTTTTTCAGCCATGTCTCCTGCAAGAGTAACTTAGGTAATAAAGACACAGGACAAGTGAAACCTACCACATCAAAAATTCGCTGGGCTACTGAGAGTAGATCTCGTTTGGTTACCTTCTTGTTTGGCATAGAAATGGATCGTATGTCACAAAAATCTCATCCTTTTCTCTGTCCTACAACATGCCCAGTAATGGTACAATATTTTCTGTTGAAAATTAATTTTCAAGGTTACTGACATCTGAATAGTTGCTAGCCCATTCTCTTAATTCAAACTGTCCTAGCTTCATTAGTCCCATGGATTCATTTACAAACTTTTTTAGTTCTACTGCAGAGTCAACACTATAGTTCGGCCGCTTAGAAAGCGACCTCCTCCAGCATTGGTTTAGCATTAGCGCGCAGGTCGTTTTCTAAGCGGCCGAACTATAACAATACAATTATCAACATAAAAGGCATCTTTCAATTTCGCAGCTGTCTCTTGTAGATGAAGTGGTGCGTCATCCAAATGGTGATTTAGTGTGGCTCCTAACAGAAAGGGACTGGAGGTAATTCCAAAGACAACTCTGCAATGTCTAAAAGTTGTCAATTTTCTAGTCTTGTAGTCTTCCCACCAAATGAACCTAAGGTAGTCTCGGTCTTGAGGAGCTAAACTGATCTGTAAAAAATCCTTTTTTATGTCTGCTGTTACTCCAATCTGGTGCTTCCTGAATTTCATTACAAGAGATGGAATCAACTCTACTAAATTTGGACCTGTAGCCAAACATTCATTCAAAGAATGCCCTCTTCTGTCCTTTGTAGATGCATCAAACACTGGACGTATTTTAGTAGTTAAGCTACTCTCTTTTATGACTGGGTGATGCGGCAGGTAATGGACTTTTGTTGACTCTGCTGATTCTGGAACATTTTCTATAATCCCTTCTTCTAACCATTCTTTGAAGACTGTATCATAGTCGTTGAATTTGTTAAGGGTATTTAATCTTCTAGTTGATGACATCAAACGTCTCTCTGCAATTTCATGATTGTCTAGAAGTTCAGGATGACCGTCCAACCACGGCAAACATACTTCGTACCTATTCTCAACATTCACTCTTACATTTTCTTTAAAATGTTGAAATACTTCTGCATCAATGGAGTCTCTCTGCTTCACCTCAATAGGGTCCTTGATTCCGATTGTCTCCAAGCTCCATAGATCTTTAATTTCAGATTTAGACTGGCAAAATAGAGTTAGCAGCGACATTTTACGACTTCCTCTGCATGGCTGCTTCCCCATCACGGTCCACCCAAGGTACGTTTCGATAGCGACTAGTTTGTCATCGATCTTCTGCATAGTTCCTGTGTACAAATCCACTAGTACATCTGCACCAAGTAAAATTTTAACATCTGGTACATTTTCACCCACATCAGTTAAAATAATGTTCTTTTCTTTTAAGATGTCAAAGTACTCTTCACTCTTAAGCCTAGGAACATGGTTGCAAATTGTTTCTTGATCTGTCACAGGAATAGAGATCTTGAAAGAGTTATTTACATTCTGAAGAGTCACTAGGTAGTTTTTATGAGATTTTTGTTTTATATTTACACCACCAAACAAGCTATGATTTATGACTTTACTACCTGTTTCTTGTAGACCTAATTTAGTGACACAGTCCTTCGTAATGTAGGATCTCTGGGAACCTGGATCCAAAAGTGCTCTTCCCAAATATTCTTTACCTTTATCATCCACAACCTTAACTAAAAGAGTCTGTAATAGAGTTTCTCCTTTACTATTTTCAAAATTGCTGAGAACCTCTGACTTAGTCTTAGATTACTTTGCTGCTGTAGATTAGAATCTGGTTTATCAGCATCAATTTTAGATCTACTTTCATACAAGTCCCTACACATGATTACATAATGCCTTTTAGAACAGAAGAGGCATTTTACAAATACCTTACATCTTTTTGCTGCGTGGCCTTGTCTTAAGCATACAAAGCAGCAGTTTTTCTTAGTTAGATGTTCCTTCCTTTCATTTAATGTCAATTGTTGAAATGAGGAACAATCTTGAGTATTATGACCTCCCTTAGAACAGTAAATGCAGTTACTCACCGACCCTTTATGACCCTCTGTACCAGTTGTCAATAGAGCAGCTGCCGTAGGTTGACCCTGACGAGGTTCGTGAACTGCTGACCTTCTCTTTTGGCTGCTACATTTGCTGTTGTTCTCTCCTTGAGTGGCAGATTTAAAACTCGTACGAGCAAGAGCCAGCCTTTCTTCACTCTCCACCTCAGCCTTTAGAAAATCAAGAAGTTCTTGTAAAAAACTACTTGATTTATCATCAGACAATGCAGAAGTCGAGGGTGTGTGTGGTAACTTACTTGAACGATGCCGCTCCCAGGCTCGTAATGTTTCTTCGGGCAAAGCAGATTCTACCAGAGGATACAGCATTGAAGCGTACTTGTCTGAAGTGACTCCTAAAGTTTCAAGTGCCCTTAACTGTGTTTCTAGTTTGTCATACAGTCGGCACAGTTTAGTATTAGGACCTAGCGTTACTTGTTGGAGCACTAAACTGAGCAGTTCCCTCACATATACTTCTATTAAAAAGTCATCCCTACCAAATCTTGCTTTTAATTGTTCTAGGGCCTTTACATAATTAGTTCCAGATGGGGGAAAACTTTCTACTAATTCCCTAGGGGATGATCCTGGTTTTAAAGATTGGATGAGGTATTGGAACTTATCCTCAGGATCCTCATGGACCTTCTTAAACTGCCCCTCCAAAACCCAATCCAATTTTTTACATCTCCATCAAACTGGTTTAATTGTAATTTAGGTAGACTTAACCCCTTCTTAGATACTAATTTAAGACTGTGAACGGTATCCCCGACTTCACTTCTTGACTGTTGGCTTAGGCCAACCTGAATAATGAAATGGTCATACTTAGCTCTCATTGAAGATAACATGTCTCTGTAAGATTCTGTAGTATCAAACTCAGCTTCTAAGTCCTCTTCTTTTGTTGCAGGATTTTCAAACAAGGCTTCCTTGATGTCTCTTCATCTAGCTTAAAAAGCCTTTCAGCTTTATCTTGCAACTTGTTTAGATTACTTTTAATTGCTACTTCATCTTTAATATCTTCAGCCAGTAGTTTGTCCATTTCATTTCTGCACTTTGTAAAAGTTCTTCTTATTTGAGTCCTTTCAGTCTTTATTGACCTTAGCTTATCCATTGTAAGTAAAATATAAGCTTGGTCCTACTCTGAATTTTAACTATAAAAGTCCTGTCACGGTCGCCACTATGTTAGAACTCGTGTAAAATAAAGAACTTTTACAAAATATTATCTAATGAAGAACTGATTTAATGCTGATAAATAACAAATATTTTTCATAACATTTTTTTAACTAAATTGTTATGTTCTTGATTACTTTCTTAAATTCTTAACACAACTCTTCTCAATTGTTTAAAATAAATTAAAATAAACCATCTGTTCATAAAAACAAAGACCAATAAATTATTATATTTGATGTTGATTAATATTGAAATTTGTATTATATAAAAAAACAACTTAATTTCCAACAACTCCATTGTTATCTTTTAATACATATTTCAGTATTTTCTATGAAATAACTTGTCTAGGCAGTATTTTGTGTGTGTATGTTACATTATAATTTTCGAGTAAAGTTCGTGAGTCATGGAAATCAATGGTAAATGGTCATGGATAGTCATGGAAATCAATGACAAATTTTCTGTGGACACCCTTCTTTAGCATAAGTGAGCCTAGCTGTACTTCCCAGCTTATATCTTCTTCGCTATGTTCATTGGAGAAAAGAATAGTTGATAAAGATGTCTTACTGATGACATAATTACTTGAATATACTCCTATTGCAAAAATATAAAATACTTTTTTTAAAGAGGTACTACTTTTTAAGTATGCCTCATTAGTTTGGTTAGTCATTGTCTTATCTGCTGGATACTAAGCAAGCAATCTTAAAAGTTCTTATTTTACTTTTCTTTCATACAAATATGGGCTTACATTTAGTCGAGTCTGTCTGTCATGATGGCATTTGTTACAGTTGATATGGAGGATGTGTTTGGAAGTCCTGTGAGTGACATAAGCAGTGATGAAGCAGAAGGCGAGGGCGCAGCTGTGAGGCGTGACAGTGATGTCAGACGTTCAGACGACGAGGTGCGCCGAGAGAGTGACAATGAGGCCCGTCGCAGTGATGATGAACGATCCCCGCGCAGAGAAGAGGTAGATTAACTTAAATGCTATAAAAATAGGCTATCATGTTTTAAAATCTGTATGATCCAGTGCACAATATAACGTACAGGTGAATCTCGATAAGTCGACACCTATATGGGACCAGGAGTGTCCTATTACGGATTTAAAAAATGCTGAATTTAACATTTAGTCCAATAGAAGTCAACATACAAAGCCTTATTATATACACCTCCACTATTGGGAATTATATTATTCTCTTTTGCCATTATTTTACTAAAAAAAACTAGTTGACTTACGGCTTTGTTGTCCTGAATATTCTTTAGTACAAGCCATATTCTAAATGTAAACAGGCATATCACAAATTTAGGATGCTAAAATGTCAGGTACTTTTTAAAAATTTAATTGACAGATAATCTAACAAGGCATAGTGGAGAATTTAGTCTACCTAATATTCAGTGCAAAGACATTGGAATGAAACTGGACATCTCGACTGGGAAAACGTGAGATTCCTGCCAAAACCAGAATCAAAATCCAGGAATTGCCAATGACTCATTCATAGCAGCATCAGATTAACAAGAGCCAACTATATTGTGATTTACATTTTGTTTTTAGGATGACCAGGCAGAGGAGAAAGAGGTAGAAGAACCCCCTCCTGAAACACGTATTGATGTGGAAATTCCAAAAATCACTTGTGATCTAGGCCGAGAAATTCATTTTGTTAAAATGCCCAACTTTTTATCAGTTGAAACTAGACCTTTTGACCAAGATACATATGAAGATGAAATAGATGAAGAAGAAACATTGGATGAGGAAGGAAGAGCAAGGTACGTGCTTATATTTTGTAAAACATAGATTATGTAAGGAGTAGGGGTCTGCGGATACCCGACCCAGACTCGAAAATCGGGTAATTTTGCACTACTCGAAGGGTCGGGCTGGTAGAAGAAATACCCGATTTTATTTCAAGCGGGTAATTCGGTATCCTATTATTAAAAATTTTAATGTTTTAATGTTTAATTATACAATTTTCAGCTTTATATGAAGATATTTTAATAATGAAATAAATAAAACTTAAAACGTGTGTTTTAAAACTTAAAACAATTTAAAAAATTTCCGTCCACCAGGCGACCCGCTGCTAGTCGCGGGAGAAATATTTGTTTACAAATATAAATCTGTTTAAAAAACACCTTTGTTTGCATTAATCTGTCATATTGGTGTTATTTCTTGTGTCACGACAAACACGATGGTATTTTGAACAAAATTTTTAGCGTCTTATTAACGATTTTAGCATACGTTTTAAAAATTAACAGCAGCATAAAAACTATTGTGAGTAAAAATTTTAAAAAGCATGGAAATGTTAACAATAAACCTACCAATTATCCATAAAAATTTCAGAAAGATTGGCTCAGTGGTTTGTTTACAATTAAATTTTAAACTTCAGTGTTAGTGCAGAGTTTCCTAAAAACCGGTACTTTTTAGGATCTTTCAAGTATATAAATTTTTCTGGTAAACGGAAATTTTTTTAAATGTTACCACGTAAAATGTATTTAAACCAGCTTACATTTAATTTCCCTTTCAACAAAATCGGATAATTAATCTCGGAGATATTTAGGCTCAAACTCGAATGCACATATTTATTTCCCCGACAGTAGGTGGCGTCCCTATCTCAATGGTTGATAATTGATAATTGGAATTAATTTCACACTTTTGAACTATATCAGATGTAGTTTTCTGAGTATCTAATTTTTTATTATTAGGGATTCCACCTCCAGTTGTTATGAAGAGCTATATATTTACGTATCTACAGGGTGTCTACCAGTCAGGAATTCCAGGAAATTCAGGAAAAAATGGGGATTTGACAGGTTGGGAAAAGTCATGAAAAAGTAATAAATTTCGGCAGAAGGTCGGGAATAACCCTTCTGTTTGGGTTCCGTGACCGCGGGACATGTTGATGATGGTGCCGTGACCGCAGGACGGAAAAAGGTGTAGTAACTGGAGGAGAGTGGAGAATGGACCAAGTTTTTGGTCGTGGTTTTTTAAAATTGTTTATGAAAAGCCGGGAATTCCATTTGGGAAATCTGGTAGACACCCTGTCTTAACTATCAAATTGTGGTTGAATAAACCTAGACTCAGTGGGGATCCCAAGTGGGCAGGGGAACTGCTCAATGGGACCCTAGAAACATATATAAACAAACATACATATTGGCATAAAACTGTATCGGAGGTTTTTGGACACAGTTCTGGACCTTTAAAATTGCTCTAAAATATCACCAAACGGCTTTTAAAATAAACTATCAAATTTTTCGGGAGGAGCCCCCTGACCCCCCTTTTAGTGTGAAACCCATTGCCCCCCCCCCCCTGACTAGATCCAGAACCGCCACCATCTAAACTTGATGATATATTAATTAGCAAATTCTAATTTAGACCTTGGTCAAACATTAACCCATTGGCGCCAACTTACGAGCATTAATCATACGGCTGCTGAAGACCCGGCAGCTGAATTACAAGTGCCGCTAGTGCAGGGTGTCTACCAGTCAGGAAATTCGGGAAAAAGTTGAGGATTTTGAAAGGTCGGGAAAAGTCATGAAAAAGTCATGAATTTCGGCCGAAGGTCGGGAATAATCCAACCCTTCAAAATTAGGGATTTTTCTGGATCGTGTATTCCTGATCATTGGGACGGGATTACATTTGAGGGGTGTGCGATGCATCGAAAATGCATCGGAATTCCGATTCGATTCAGTGATGATCAAAATAACGATTTGATTTATGGGGAAAACAGTATCCATAAGTTATTGAATTCGTATCGATATATGTTATTGAATCTGCATCCATTTACGTTATTGAATCTGTATCCATATACGTTTATTGAATCCGTATCCATATACGTTATTGAATCAGTATCCATTTACGTTATTGAATCTGTATCCATATACGTTTATTGAATCCGTATCCATATACGTTATTGAATCAGTATCCATTTACGTTATTGCGTGTTGTTTGCGTTATTGGTTACGACGTTTCCGTGACCGCGGGAGACGATAAAGACGTCCCACAGTCGCGGGAAAGGTTCATGATTTTGCCGCTATCCCAGATGACGACGATGACTTTTCCGTGACCTCGATTGTCAAGGATAATGTCTACACGACCGCGGAAAATTTTCGTGTTTTTGCCACGATCGCGGAAGACGATGATGATGATTTTTATGCGGCCGGGGTAGATGTTCATGATAATTACCTCGAGCACATATGAAATTGTTGAATATATATCAGCTGTTATAATTATTTATTAAACTAAATCAGGAAACATAACAAAAACAAAAAATACATTCAAAAAAGTTGCTCAAAGTGACGGCCTTGATCACAATTGCAGAATATACAACGTTTTACTAGAGATCGACGAACCCGGTCAAAAACATTTACATCTGCTATGTACTATGAAATGAAAGTTGATTTATGTTTTAAATGTATGATATTCTATAAACTACCAAGTTAAAAGAACCGCACATAAGAATAATGACTGCGACTAACCTGTAGATAACGTAGAACTGAGGTCGATTCGGGGACACCAGCTGTGACGTCATCGCGCTGGCAGTGCAGCCACACACACAAACTAAATAGCACTACTTACTGCTGGTGCATAACTTTAAAACATATCACAAAATGCATATTTTATCCTGCACCAAATTCTTGTAATTTAGTTTTTATATCAGTGAAATAAAACAAAACAAAATTAATGTAAACAAAGTCATATGATAAATAAATAAATGAGGAAACAGTTGGTTGATCACAACAACATCCTCCTTAATTCTTGCTGCAGCTTCTGTAATTCGTCCAACCAAGTCCATTTCACTCTCCACTGGTTTACTGTATACCAGTTCTTTCATGCACCCCTACAGAAAAAATCTAATGGTGTGAGGTCAGGGGATCGGACAGGCCAATGTACCGCCTCACACATCTCTGCTCAAATGTGGCATTTAGGTAGTCTCGAACACCAATACCGATACCAAAATGAGCTGGAGCCCCATCGTATTTGAAGCCACGTATCATGTATAGTATGAAGTGGCACAACTTTTAGCAATACAGGGAGAATGTCTCTTAGAAAAACAAGATACACAGGGGCGTTAAGTCTATTAGACAAAATGTAGTGTACAATTAAACAATCTCCAGTAATACCCGCCCAAACATTCTGCAAACATACTGCAAACCTTTCTTAGTACCCTCTAATGATAGTTGCATGTGGGTTTTCTGCAGCCCAAACATGTGATGTGCAATGATTTTAAGATTCCTTCCCTGGAGAAACTCGCCTTATCTCTAAATAAAACCTTCTCCAGAAAGCTTTGATCCTCAATCTGCTTTCCAATGATCCAGCGAGAAAACACCATTCGTCTAGGATAGTCTGGAGCATTGAATGCCTGGACTTTTTGTTTTTTTTTTTAAGGATGAAGCCCTTCACCATTCAAAACTCTCCAAATTGTACTATAACCACAGCCTAATTCGCGGCCTACCTTCCTGGTGCTTGTTGATGGGTTATCTTCAAACAAAACCCAACACATTTTCTTCAAACCGGACATCACGAACTTGTCTGCCACGACCCGTATCAATTTGCTACACTTAAATGATCCAATTTCCCTTAATCTGTCGAGAAAAGCAGTAAGAGTATTAAAATACAACATTTACAGTATACAGATAACGTTAAATCTTCGAGCTTGTTTTGGATTGCCATTGCCCTGCTATTTTTTTTTTTTTTTTTTTTTTTTTAGGGAGAGGAGGGAAAATGCTTTTACGCACACAGGTAGCCAGCCTGTAGTGTGAGACTCCTGAAATTATCAGACTACTCACTAAAAAACCCCCTCTACTCTGTTGGACACAGACCTGGAATTGTTTGTCACATTACCATTACCAACTGGCGATCGTTGACCAGATGTCTGGATTGATCTTGTCAAATAAAATTTACTTTTAAGAATTAATAAACTAATATTTACAGTATTTACACTCACATGGCGGCCGGATTCATACTCAAAAGTCCATTGCAGTAGTAAAGTATTCCTCAATGGAATAAAAACACTTCCTACTCAGCCATTGTTTTAGTTTGACTTTAAAAGGTTCAAGAAGGAGTTCTTTAATGTGAAGGGGCAGTCTATTGTAGAGCTTGTGTGCTAACACTGGAAAGCAGTCCTTGGTCTTTGATAGCCTACACCTCGGGACATCCACATTCCTTGCCGAGCGCAGGTTGTAATTGTGGAGTTGGTCTCGTGTAATATGAGGGAGCCTAGGGTCAGTTTTCAAGAGAAGGAGGCAGTCTAGAATGTATTGGCTATGTATTGTGAGAATGCCGAGCTGTTCAAAAAGTGGTCTGGCATGATCTCGTCTGCCACTCGAAGATAAAATTCTAACAGCAGTCTTCTGCATAATCAGAGCTCTAGTAGTGTTCGGAGCATGGCCCCATAAGACCAAGCCATAGCTTAGATGGCAATGAAACAAACCAAAGTAGGCTAGTTTAAGATAGTCAGACGTCACCTGGGATTTTAGTTTTCTTAAAAGACCATTAACTCGAGATAATTTTTTGCAAATTTCATCAATATGCTGGTTCCAGGTAAGTTTCTCATCAATGGTAACACCTAACAGTTTGACTGCACTCACACTAGGCCCATCCAACCTGGCTTCAGGGCGGGTCCACAAGCTGCAGAGCAGCTGCTGAGTTTTCCCCTCATTCAACTGCAGCCCGTTTAGCCTAAACCACTCCTTAGCCTCCCCTAGGCAGAAATTTGACCCCGTTGTTAAATTGGCCATGTTACTACCACGATTAATAATGGTAGTGTCATCTGCAT